CGTTCAATCTACGCTTTCCCTGCTATTATTGCCTAGATCTTCCAAGCCAGCCTTGACGACGAACGGCCTAAGAGATTGCTTCTGCCGATTGACGACGAGAGCCTTCAAGGCATCGTTCAACTGCGCATTGAGTTCCAAACCGTTACGGGGGCTCAATCAGCAAGACTGGAATTGCACATCTTCGGGTGTTCAGAAGGTGGGCAGTTCGTTCACCTCTCCCAAGGAAATAATGCCTGTTTTGTCTTGAACACCAAATCCTTTTCTGCACAATTCACGATGGCACATTTATTAACAAAGTATTATTTTATCTTCTCCCAGAATATACAACAACCCATATGACAACAAACGTGGTAACTTTCACGACGTCAACAACTGTTATTGAGGAGATCACAACTTTGAGAGCAACATCGGAAATTTCAACTACACAATCTAAACGAGGTAATAATTTTCTGGGAATAGATATTACCTAGCTTCTATGTTAATCTGGTTTGGAGGGTTCCAGAATGTAAGTGAAACAATATTCCAAACTGTTTACTGTGTTTGAATTCAATGAATAATTTACAATCAGATTACTACTGAGAATGTCCTTTGTCTTTTTTGTGATCAGGGCCCCCTGGTGGTTCTGAGGTTGAAACAACTACGAAGCCTATTCGTTCTCGTACGTAGAAATTTACAATTGTTGATTTTATCCAAATCCGTAGGATTTGTGTCAGAAATCATAATGGATTTGGATGATTCAGTACTGTGAACTTAATTCAACAGAGGTTTAATAGTGTTTATCATCGAACCATGTACATAGGTTTTACATTGAACACATTTTATATGACACAAGTGACAAACACAATGAAATTTGGAAACCTCTTGCTATTTACTACTTTAGCAGTCAACATCCATCGGAAAGTCCGGAATTTCTAACAGTAGCACGTATATAAGAGTGTTTGTTGTTTACACTAATAGTTGAGAATTTCTTATAATTCACCACTTTACACCATGCAGAAATATAGACAACAGAAGATTATATCAATCATCGCTGTTGTTCAAATAAAACATGTTTTGGAAGTAATTTTGTCCATCTTAATGCATTTATTAAATTGGTCCCCCAGGAGACTCAGAACTTCCAACAACTGTAAGGCCAACACGTTCTCCTATGTATTGACAACTGATGAAACCAAATTCCTCTTATAACGAATGTTCCCTAAATTTGTACTTGCTACAGCAGTTAGTTTTGTTTATGTCTATACACGGACACACAAAAACAAATTTACTAACACAGATTTGGTTTTGTAGTTTCTGATATTGTAGTGTTTTTGAAGAATAGCGTATCTTTTGTCAGATAAGTCTAGAAGGAGTTTCAAATCCTAACATTTTTTGTTCGAAAAAAACGTTTCATCAACCAAAATTTGAATTTAAGACTATTGACGAACTAAAAAGAGATGTTAGAATTAAATTTCTATACAACTGGAATAAGCATATAAAGTTGCATAGTAATATCAATGCTTTTATAATAAGTTAAATGTATGAGATGTAGAATGTTTGTAACTCAAAAATGCTACTTCACAAATTGTTCTCCCGATTTCAAACTTCAGGCTAAGCACACAGTCACATGTACTTATCAAAACTCCAGATACATGTTAAAGTGCAATGGCATTTTATTGAGAATTATCAACTCCTACGGAAAAGCTTAGACATTTTTATAGTTTAAATAATTCACACTTTCACTGATGCAGGTCCTCCAGGAGGTTCTCAAATTGAAACAACCACACAACCAATGCGCTCTCGTAAGTATAAATGTGTGGACAATATTAATTGATACAAATATTTCTGATAAACACTCTTTGCCGATCATCTGTAGATACATTATAAACTTTATGTTTCTAGTTGAACTTGATGAATTATGTAATCACGTTTATCAGATAAGGGACTTTTCCATTACCTGCAGTTACCAAGTCAGTGTTCCAAAAAATTGATATACAAGCAAACAGGTTATATTTTCCGATTTTTTGTTTCTCATGCCATAAGAAATACTTCATTGCTCTGGATTATCAAAGGAATACGAGCAAAACATTGGTAATAATATACTGACTGCAAAAATTAACACAATAAAGCAAATCAAATCAAAAATAAGAAAACTTCTCCACAAATACATTCCCAACTATAAGAGGCGCTTATATAAAAAACTGAAAAATGGCAGAAAAAATTCCACATCAGCCCTTTTCTTTCAAAGGAACAAGATTCTATCCACTTTTGTTCAACTCAATTTGATTCTCTTCTCTCAAGGATATTCAAAAACAGAACCAGTGACCAAAACCACCATTTCCAAATCAACCCTGACGACAACGTCTCCTCGCTCATCAACTCGAGGTAAAATGAACTAACTCAACCCTAATAAATGCCAGCATTCCTCTGTATTAGCCTGGCCAAGGATATGGTGAACAACTCTAGAATCCCTATCCTCCGAATAACATCATTTTTCATGAAAGGCTACTGCCTGGATCCCATGGTGGGCGATTCCAGACCTCTCTCCGATG